TATTGTGATACTTTTAAATGAAGATTCTATTAACATTTTTCATAACTTTTTCCTTGCCCCGGAAGTTTAATAGTTCCCAAATATATATTTCAATATAGTCAAGTATCTAGGACTAACATTAGATTGGAGATTTACGTAAGTCCCTCACTTAAAATCCAAAATCCTTAATTCAAATTATTTTGTACGATTACTAAAAATATTTTGCAATTTCAATAAATACTCATTCATCAACGTTATACTTCTTATTAAATTTACAGATCTCTAGTTAGATCCAACTGAGCATACGCTCTCAGCTATAAGGTTGGTAAAGCAAAAACATACAGCACCAACAAAATTCCAATGTTCCATAATAAAGCACAAAGAAAATTAATAAATGTCCCACCTTACATCTCTAACCATACAGTATATTCAGATTTCAAGATCAAATTCATTTAAGGAGAAGAAAAACTATTTTACAAACGTTTCCACTTCAGTTTAACCACCCACCCGAAGCCACTTGTAAGAAATCTAACATTCCCTACTCCCGACGATTCCCAGTAATCTGACAAAGCATCTTAAACGAAAATAGATAATAAATATAATATTTTACAAACAAAGAAAACAATTATTGTAAATAAGTGCACAGGGTGAGTTTTTCAACATACTCGCTCCCATTTTCCCCTTTAATAATACATTTATTCAAATTGTGATTTTTAGAATTTTACTAGCAACTTCATACGCCTTGTAATGACTATGTTATCAAATTTCTGATATTTTTTACTACTAGGAGTATCGTGTAGAGATATAAACTTGTATTTTTCAAATGAGAATTTTTTTTTACTAAAAGTATTTAGTCGATAATTTTTTTGAAAATGTTGATGTATCTAAATCTAAATTTTAATGAGTAGTTTCTGAAATATTAAAATGCTTATAGTTACGATAATAATCTTTAAAAATGGTTTAAAATATCTATAAACTATAAGTAATATTAGATGTAGTATTAATTATACGTGGACAATATTTCCAAATTATTTATATTCACAGATCAATAGTAATTACTAACCTTTTAAAATCACCTAAGCTCTCATATCTACCTCACCCATTATTACTAGGCACATTATTCTTAGTACACATATATATTATATATGTATAAAACTCAAAAACTATTCTAATTTTGATTTAGATACATCAGAATTCTTAAGAAAAAATACTTGCTGAAAAGTTAAAAGTAAAAAATGGGAGGGGAGGTCGGGGTTCCCTGTTTGAAAAATAGAAGTTTTCATTGGCCTAGAATTAGCCTTAAATAATAAATAGTACAAAAAATGTCAAGTATTCGAAAATATAGTTTTCATGTGTATTGACAAATTTCAAAACTCAGATTTTAATATATGCATGATTTTAGCATAAAATAAGGTGAGCATGCTTAAAAAATCACCCTAATATCATACAATATTGGAATATTGGAAGTTAACAACATAAAAGTATTTTTACTAAATAGGTGGGTAAATGTATCCTTATTTTACTTCGGCCCTTGCAAATAACTATTTGGGGTGATAAGCTTATTTATAAATCATCTAATTGATTTAATGATCACAAATCTACTATCAACATACAATAGCATACAAATTAATATATATGAAATCTTGTATGGATTCAAATATTTAATATTTCTGGGAACATAATATAAGTCAAATAATAAAACAATCTATTTCAAATCACATCAGTCATCCACTGAATAGGTACCTACTGTAATTATTATTTATTGTTTTAAGAGTTATCGATAAAACCATTTTTTTAATTGCTTACATTGGGTAAAATAAACGAACTAGCAAATATTAAATATTATGTTTTTAATTTCTAGTTATTATTAGCTGACCTACGTATAAAAGTTTACCATAATAATTTAGCAGTAAAATAGTGGTCCATGGCATTTTTCAGATTACATATTAAATGTCATATTTATAAATGCGTTTTATTTTGAATTAAAAATGTTTAATGTTAAAACAATACATTTAGCCAATTTCATTGAAATCGTTGGCATCATTGAGAATGTGACTACCCATGCCCTCTCTGAGTACAACTGTGATATATGATATATCACAATGATACGATACATGATTTAAAAAAATGGGAAAGTCGATCTGCTGTAACTGTGCATAGTAATTGAGTATTTCACCGTAAATGGCTGTGTTAATTTGAGTTTATTGATAAATAATTTCATGAAACAACTATTTTGTGGGGAGATAGTCAGACTATATTTCTAAGGATATTTATATTACTTTTTATAAGTTATCTATTGTAATTTAAAATTAATGATAATAATAGTTTATTTTCCTTTTAGTAATATAGTAGGTTAGAGTGTTGAACTAATTTTTGACAAAAATAAATCACATATCTATATAATATAAAATCGAATGTGTCCTGACTGAGATTGACTGATCAACATACGCGTAGAGCTTAAGCTATGATAGCTGAAGACTTGATATTTTGATAGTACTTTGGTTCACTATTTTACGTGGCCCTAAAGAAGGATTGTACAAAATTTACATTTTAAAGAGGCCCCCTCATGCAGTCACAAGGATTTTGAGATTCACGATGAAAATCTAAATTTGTTTTGCTTATAAATTTATGCCACTGGTTACTTAAAATAAAATTGTTATTATGATATTGTATATAATTTTAACCATCAGTATTTGATATTTGGTTCTACCCACGTGGACTAAAATTATAACCTCATATTCATTCATTTCAGCTAATAATTGGGAAACTGTAAGAAAATAAGTTACTTATTGCTGTAGGCTGATTTAAAATTAAATAAATTATTTTTTTCTATTTCTTTGAAAATGTTCGAACACTATTAAGCCGAATATTTGATAACGAATTGAACAAAGTTTGAATCATGTAAGAGTTAGAATTTCTTACTGGCAACGAAGTGCCCATTATCAGCTAGTAATTATGTATTATATATAATATAATAATTATTTTATTAAATAAATAATTTGTACTATTATTATTTCATATTCTATCTATCTGTTATAATAATTTACTTGTCATTATTGAAGTAATAGTGGAACGGAATGATTATGTGAATAGAATCGTAAACAGTTTGGAGTATAAATAACATAAACTTAATCTAAATATTTTGATAATTTGCTATGTAGGTACTTACAGAGAACACTAATATATGCAATGGCAAGGTTTTAAGTCCTTTAGACCATTAGGTTGCCTTTTATAATAAGATAATTGAAGTCGTTATTTTTTATCTGAATATTTGAATGTGGATTTACGTCAACTTCTTTTCTTTAAATTCCACTTAGAAAATTTTATGAGGAACCATGCATTCTATTTTCAAACTTTTTAGGAGAATATAAACATTTTTTATAAGCATTTAAACAAAAAAAATTTTAAGCCTGAAATGTCAAATATTTCAAAGCTGAAAAAGAGCCAAAGAATTTTGAAAATTTTACCACATCTAAACAATCATAACATAAATATTTCATAGAAAAATATCAATAAAAAGTTATATTATATGATTATTCGTTTTTTAATTAACCCTTCAATATATATATATATATATATGTATAAATGTATAATAACATCGAATTAATGTAGATTTTCCTGATTATTGAGAAGATAATTTTTTACTCTCAATAATTGATGTTAAAATAAAAAAAAAATGTTAACTTTGAAAGTACTATTTAGATCAGATTTGATACCAGAAACCAATTTCCAAGTTGAATATTGCATTTTTTCTAACATAAAATATCATAAGACGTAAAAAAATATATCATTGTAATACCAACACATTCTTCACTCCACTCAGAATCTAAAAGTTATTTTGAGCATTGTAATTTTAAAAGCTGTTATGGATTTCTTTTTAATGATGTAGATATACCCGGAGTGAGGCTACATTAACATTTTGTTGAATTTTATCGAATGTTAACCATCTAAATTTGTGAGTTGGTTAAAGTGTGATTTATTCTGATATAATAACATACTCGTAGTAATAAATAATAAATATAATGTTTGAATTGAAAATAAAAAATATCCTATTTTAGAGGTGGAATAGTTCCTGAAAATACCCGTTTTGTACTTCATCTAAAATCTACCAATTAATTTCAACTTATCAGTGAAAATAACTGAAAAATAATTGTTTGTTGTAGAAAATGTATTGTGGAATTTCATTCACATATCACGTTAAGATAATACAAAAACAAATTTACTATTTTAAACAATGAATTAAGGATAATATGTACGGATAAAACATTTGAGTGATCGTGTAATAAACATGTTTATAATTTTATAAGCTAATGCGCCTTAGTAATAGTTAAAAAATAAACAGTTGTACTTATGTAAATATAATTTATCCGTTTAATCAACTTTTAAATTTTAACATTAAACTATTCAACTCAAATATACCCATATTGGTAGGTACCTAGTATAATACAATTTATTGCATTTGTCAAACTCTAAAAAGATATGTTAAACGTGTGATAAACGTTGATATTTTCGAATATAATTAGCATTTAAAAATTAATTTTATATCCGTATATATTATTTTAATAATTATTTAAATATAATGAATAATTGAAGGCATTTATATCCAAAGATATTAACTTTTTCTTTAAACAAATATATAAAACATAATGCACCTAATTATTTATATGGTATGTACATTGTACAATGCATTCATAAATATTTTAACATAAATGGTTTTCTAGTATAATTTTGAAATATATTAATTTTTCCAACGTCTATTTGTATAGAACACATGCAATGTGCCAAATCAAATTCATTATAATATTATACTACATAATAATAACGATTTTAGTCATTAGCAAAGTTTAATGATGAGTTGTTATTATAATTTTGAAAAAAAATATGTATTTGTGAATCATAATTTTATTTTATTTTTTTGTTTCAAACTAATAATAGTACAATTTTCGTGTTACATAGAATCATTTATGTGATTAACTATTTTATGAAATAAAGCATACTAATATAAATGTTTTGTTTTTTAGGAACGATAAAGTCAATTGTTTCAAATTGAAATAGGTAAGATTTATATTATACTTAATTTTTTTCTAAATGTTAGAATATGACTCATATAAGTATAGAATTTATTTCCTTAAAAATTAAATAATATTTTAATTCATTTAATCAAGTCGTATTAGCTATATACTATAATAGTATATACTTAAAAATATTCGAGTATGGGGATTTATCAATTCCGAGGAAGCATCAAGTTTGGGAAATAGTATGTATCGATTCCACTTACCTATTTACATTGTGATTTATATTATGATATAGGTACAAAAAACAACGAATTTAGAATATATCTAGGTGTAATTTAATATTTATCAAAAAAAAAGAAAATAATATATAAACATAAGTAATTCAATAAGTAACTAATAAGAACTATAATTCAATCTTTTGAGTTACATGATATTTTAGTATACCTTTTTAAAAAACCAACTAATAACACTTAGGTATAGTTTATATCATAACCTTTATAATATTGAATACTAAAATGTTATATACTACCTTCAATTTAAGATTTCGTAAGATACGTAAGACAATCGCAGGTATAAATTCTATTCTAATCAGTAGAATCTATTTATGAACTTCAAGCATAATAGCAATATAATTATTATTTTTTCAAACCATTTTTACCTTTTTTTTTATTAAAAAAATATTATATTAATATCTTAATCGAAAGTAGTTCCAGAGAGCAGTAAAGTAATGTTGCCAAAGTAAGTTTTACTAACTTTGAAGAATTATAGTACAGTCAACCCACGATCGCTAAGTAACATATTATGTAACAAATGCACTTTGTTCGTTTCAATCTGTAGATTGGTTAATTAAAGAAATGTTCCTTCACTTCTCTTTAATAATCTATAATTCATAAATACCATTATCAATAGCAATATTGAGTCTTTTTTTTAAACTAAAACACAAATATTATTTCGATTCCTGCATATATTAATCCATCATCCTACAATATAACCCAATTCAATTGGATCGACTAGATATAGTGTTCGGCACCACTTGGCCTTCATAATATTGTTATGATAATAAATTTAAAGATAAATAGATATATGAATATAATATGATAGTCGGTTAGCGGATGCGTGGAACTATATAGGAATTTTATCAGGAATTACCTACGATTCCATTTGATTATGAATTTCTGGAACATTAAACTGACGTTCGTTACCTTAGTAACCTTAGTACAATTGTTTTGATTATGGTTTTATACTTCGAAAAAACTAAACTTAGAAGTGTTGTAGGCATCTATATAATTTTATTTACAGTACGTACGAAGAAATATTAACAAAATATTTTTCAATATGATTTACGATAAGCATGTGATTAATAGTAGCATATTATTCGTTAACATTATATAATTGATATTTTATAACGATCTAATTTTATGAAAATGTTAAAAACAATGATTGAAATTTCATTCTAATTAAACTTTCATATTTTTAATGCGTTAAATGTCATCTTTAGTGGAGAATGTGTACGTACTATAAGTTCTAACAAACATTTGAATTCCATAAAATAGAATTTCTATGAAAAATGTATAGCTTGTTGAATGATTAAAGATTTTTCTTATCTGCCAATAATATTTGTTGTATTTAGGTTAAATAAACAACTAGAGTTTTAACATATTTTTGATGTTGTTAAAATAGAATTTGTTAAATTTCAAAGATGAATTTAACCAACTAAATATTTGATAATTAAATTCTATTGGTACCTACAGCAGAATACAGAAATAAATAAAAATGTTTGAAAAAAATTTTTTTTGGTGTGTAAGATTACATAAAGATGTTTTTATCAACCATCTGTAATTTTTATTTTTAAATATACATTTGAAATATACGATCAAAATATTTAGAATCATAAATTTAATTTTTAATAATGGATTTCGTATCAATTAAATCCATTTAACAAATATGGAGGATTCGTGTTATATAAATACAAATATTTATTATAATTCTTGAATACATTTTATCATAGGCAAGGCGGCTCTAATTGTCAGGGAGAGGGAGTCAATGACAATTTACTGACCCACTTAAAATAATAAATGTACCCTCTCAATATTTTTTCTAGGCAACTGCCCACTTGTGACTCTTGACTCCACAAAGGTGACAACAAAAATGTTTTACTATTATCGACGTTATTCATACAATGACATGAAGTATTATAATAAAACTATAATGATGCAAAATTTTACTACAAAACGTTTTTTGTAAAGCAGATATTTTTTAGTCACAAATGTTGTTCTTTAACGTAATTTTGTCAATCAATGTTTACGATGTATTGATATAGTGAATTTTATTTTATTACTTATTGCAGTCGAATCATTGAATTAAATATTAAATGAAATTAATTAAATTATATTAAAAAAATTCATGTAGGTAATATATTATAAACGGATAGTCTTAGGTTGTCTTAAGAATACTCATAATTCATGATTAAGACTTAGTTGAATCCATTTTCTTGAATTTTTTTATTATTATTATTTTGCAATGTTTCGACAGACTTCTGATAAATTGAAAAAAATCACCCTTCTAAAGAAAATGTGTGTTCTATTTACAATGTAGGCGTATACCGATAGACTACATTAAGCTGTTTAAGCTTTTTTATTTTCGAAAACGAGTGAACACAAAAATACGCAAAGAATTATGTAACACATACGTGTGTATGATCGTAAGACTTTTGTTTGCTAACAATTAAAAAAAAGCTGCGAGATTTAAGTAAAGCTATTTAAATTTGATGGTGGTAATCTGATTGAATAAAATATTGTACCTATGATATGGTTCAATGGTTTTATAATAGCCCCTAATTACCACCTAATACTTTTAAATAATTCAATTCACAAAATATTCATTATTATGATTTAGAATATTAACGAGTTTACGTTTTTGGGAGAACACTATATGTATGTCTTACTTTATTTTTCTGTATAAATATTTAAAACTTTTGTTTTCATCGCACAAAATTCTATCTATTTATTTAATGATTAATAGAATATGACGAGAAAATGTAGAGTTCCTGGCGTTTCGTCACAACTGCCGATGGGCGTAAACTGGGGTGTGATGCAAGATTAATTGTGTTGTCGAGTATTTTTCAAGTCTCGGAAACTAATAAATAAATAAGACCCTCCAGTCACCGCACGTGATGAGTTTTGGATCGCATCCAAACTGTCAAATGCCCACCTATCCTTCCGTGCCCTACATAATATATCAAAAACTGCTCAACTATAACAATATACTTACCGCTGCGCTGGTACAAAATTATTGATCTTCACTTATATTATATTTGTAAATTGAATTATGTTCTATCAAGTCATAAGTAGGTCTCATAGTACAGTACATTTTTATTTTTTCAGTGTCGTCAAGTTGTTTTTTCTTATCTATTTAAAGCATATACTGAGAATTTATTTTCAATTAAAACTCATTTGAAACGATTTAAAAATTAAAGGAAATACCGTGTAAATACGAAAACTTTCTGAATAAATATTTAGCTAACAAATAAACATAATTTGTGTAAAATTATTTTAATGTACCAAACAATTGTAGTAATAAAATCATTCATTAAGATACATTTGGCAAAGTCCGTTTTTTTTTTAGCGGTTAAACGTTAGAACTATTGGAATTCCTGTAAAACTTTTTAATTTATAAACACAGTTTTTATTTTAAGTTTGTGGGTTGTAACGTTCAGTGTAAGTCGGGTTCATTCGTTTTTGGCCACTTGTATTTTGTTTTATATTTTTCCGTTTCCATAATTTATTATTATAACAATAATCGTTCGGGTCGAAAATTCCACAGCACCCCCTCCTGCAAGTTCCACACTCACCACTACCTCTGTTCACGATTGCACAATCACATTTATTAATTAATTTTATATAATTATTGTATTGGCCTCCCACTAAGTTCCCGATGTACAACGATCAGCTCATGACGTCCCGCTATATCAGTGCGATCACTTGCTCTGCGTTCATTCCACCCTCCTCTATAAAATATCGGAGGGCTCGGAGCATTGTTAATATTGTCGATACAATTTTAGGTTATAATTATTAGTCTGTCAAGTTGATGATATTTTTTTAATGATTTCAGTTATTAAGATAACATTTTTAAAAAAGTTATAGTTAGCTACTTTAACCAAAATGACTTCACAGAAAAACTCTCATACCTCATCGATTTGTCGAATTTTCCTTTTTTTTTTTTTTTATTTGAAAGATGAGAACTTTTTTCAGGTCAGATCAAAGCCCACGTTTTCATTTTATTTTAAATAGTGCTACATAAATACATTAAGGTAGTTAATTTTTATTCTTAATGTTTTATATTATATTAAATAGTTAATGGACAGTTTAAACTAAATACCCGTATAATGTTATAAATGAATAAATTATTTTCATGGAAAAAAAGAATAAGTGTAATTTTAATTTTTAATTTCCTATTATGCGTCATAAAGTTGTATTATTATTGAAATAGTAATAAATAAACATGATTTGGATTTAATTGGAAACAACTCGTTATTTACTAAGTTAACTAATGGTGAACATCAATAAAAATAAATTAGCTAAGTTAAAAGTTAAATTAATAAAAATTAAATGCAGACAAATTAAGTTCAAAAGTTAGACCAACTTTAACTCGTTTATGCCCAGTATTGGGTTTTATTTTTTTTACATATTGTACTAAATTTCCATCAACATGGAGTGGTTATCGATTGGGGATCATCCCCGGCCATGTCCCCGTAGGTATACTGAACGTGACGCGAAACGAATAAGGACTAGGTCATTTACAGGGGGAGAGGGTGTCTGGTCACGATGTTTTCGACATTGAGGTTTACGTGCAGATATTAATATTATTATTTATTATTCTCATTTTCAGAGTATTCGCCGATACGATATTGTACATATTATTATTTGCTGGTAACCGCCCACCGGAGCCGTGCACGTTTCATGTTATACAAGTATACAACTATAATATAATATTATTATTATAATAATACAACGAAACAAAAGTCACGGAATGGTTATTTTGTGTTTTGTAACGTCTTCTTTAATATCTATTTACATTATTATTGTCTCCGTGGAGTGCTTTGTGTTTTGTCTGTCTGAGTTATACGACCATTCGGATTTTTCTGCACTCAATTTATTACCTATTTTTAATATAGATTGGATGGATCCCAACCTTGATCTGTGTCATGTGATCTTGCCCAAAAAGGGCGGGTGATCACATGACTTTTCAAATGTCTTGAATGTCGTTCTTTTGGCGAATAATCGAATGGTCCGGACTGTATGCCTATTACGAGAGTCGAGAGATCCTATAATATAGATACTGATTAGGTAGCAGCAAACAATCCAATCTTTTCCCGCCTTTCTTATGTTTGTTTGAATTGAGTTATGTTTTAAAATTATTGCATATTTTATTTTAAATGTAAACATTTAACATTCAAAAATTATATTAAATACAATGAATTAGCATTAGAGGTTATTAATTGTAACTATAGTTTGTATGGTCAAATATTCATGATATATTTTAATTTTATTATATTTGAAAAAAAGTTGTTATAAAATTATAGCTCAATTTCGCATGATATTCTACATTTGATTGTATTATTTAACGATAAATAACGCCTATAGATCAGTGATAACAACCAACCAATAGAAAACATTTACCAGCAAACAACTATTTTATTAACTAGGCCCTCCATTCATTTATGTCGATATAGCTTATAATTTTAAAACATTGAGATCCATAAAAATGTAAAATATATGGTTCACAAGATTACAACATTAAAACGTAATGGATAATTTACATGAATTGTTTATAATTTTATTTTGATGTTTTTTTTTGTGTTATACTAATTTTTAATATAATTTGTAGTATTATGATGAGAATGACCTTAAAAACTCTAAAAAATGTATGCAAATATGCCGGTATAACAATCAATATTTTACATTATTAAATGGTACTCAAATTGTAATGGGAATTCATTATTTATTAAAATTATACTCGATACACATTTTTAATAGATTATTGATATAAGCTACGCGTTTCATATTAACGTGTTCGTGAGAGTTCTGACCACCACAATAATATTTAATACCTTTGGGTGTTGCTACGGGAGTATGTCTTTAAAAGCATGTATGACACCCTTAAATGGATGATTCGTGGAAAATCTAATAATAAAAAGATTTTCAAAAATGTTCGTTGAAATGTAAAATTTAAGAAAAAGATAATGCGTTTATACCAATTAGGACTTTTATAAATTCAATTATTTATAAAGTCTCAAAAATAAGACTTGTGTAGCCTGAAAAAAAATAGTTTTGATTTTGTACCTACTATTTTGTGGTTGAAATCTCACCATTAGTAAGTACCAATGTATATTATGTGATGTACGTATATTACATTTTCTTAAATATATTATGTACAGTGTGCAATGTAATTCTTAAATATAATAATTTATCGATCCGTAAAATTCAAATAATTCTCGGGTTCGAATGGTTCAACTATAAATTCATAAAGATTTGATACAGATATAATATCAAATTTTCACAGTAAATTAATTAACTAGTTTACCTGGATCATTGTTACTAAGAGTTTACACGGATTAAAAGACATCCTTTGAAATTATTGTAGATATACTACTGCTACCTTTCCACGTATACAATTATTGTATTATGGTCATGGATTATAATAATAATAAAGATAATACATTTATGATTTATCTATGCTAATTGCTAAAGCGCCTTTGAGATCAACAAATAATGTAAGTAGTACAATATTAACTGATTGGAATGGAAATTTATGTATTTTGGGAAAAAAGTTATGGTTGCACTTTAACGTGTTTTGAAAATTGTTTAAGTTAGGTTAACAATAATTGATACTTTTCATTAATTTATGCAATTTTAGATTTTGAATTTTTGAATAAAGTAAAAATGATTGTTATAATTCTGTAAATTTTTTTTAGAAAGATCAAAAGTTTCCTGAAAATGTGATAGTATCTAATATAGACTTATAGAAGTAAAATTTTTTTTTGGAAATTGAGTTGAGACATTGAACTTAATACTAATTAGTTATCCCCATTTAATATCAGATTTTTCATATTGTATTGTTTGACATTGTCAATGATGATATTATACATAAAACCTATTGATATATTTATATATAACTTCAATTTATACTATTCGAACTTTATGTTCATTTAAATCCAGTTGAGTTGAGTTTAAATTTGATTTCAATTATTATCAAATGTACAGAAAATTATAAGTTAATATAGTATTATAATTTCAATGAAGTGTTAATATAATATATTAAGTTATATGATAAACATTTTTCATCTAAAACTGCAAATTTGTATTTTTTTATTTCTACATGTTCTGTAAAAATCAATAAAAAATATATTTTTTACGTATTTGTTACATATTATAAAAGTTAATATTTACTTATATTTAATATGGTATGTATATTAATTGTTTAATTTAACGTGAAAGTTCAGCTTTTTTAATTTTAAATTCTACATGTTAAAATATTGATTTTATATTTTCGGTTAGAATATTTAATATATTTTACATAGCGTATAATTTTTTTATAAAATATTACATTAAAAATGTGGGTACTGTCTTTGGTATTATACGCCTACATTATTGTTGGGAAATATTTTTATTTCGGAAGCCACAGAAAAATGTTTAAATGTAACTTGGAGTAATATAAATTATTTAAGTCTTAACCAAGTGTTGGTGTTCTTAAATTTCTTAGTTTATTTTTCATTCATTAAATTTTATATTTTCCAATTATTGTATACTAATTACCCACATTGATATATATCTATATGGGGCACAATATTATTATACTAAATTTTCGGCTCCACTGTCATCCAAATAACTATCATACATTTTGGATCAAATTACATTAAAAGTTTGTTTGAAATATCAATGATTAATTAAGAAGTAGCAAAATTCTAAAGTATATGTACACTTCTCTTGATTTATATGTTATGGTAAAAATCGATTGTATGCTCATTACGACTTATTTAAGATGTAACCACGCAAGGTTTTATGCATATCATATAATATATTAAACCATAAAATCGGCCACCGAGGGACATTATATTGGATATTAATCAGTACCGTATAATACTATACTATAATCTTAACTTGATATTACAGTGCCATTAATTTACCATAACTATATAAAGAGCTTATATACTGCAAACCATTTAAAAAAAAATGCTAAAAATACTATTTGAAATAAATTACTTAATAAAAACTTGTTCTTGTAATAATGTTTTATGAAGTTATAATAGCTTATAAGTAGTTATAAGTAATAAGTGATAACTATTGCGTGTGCTCAGGAGATACACAGAACATTTTAAGTTGTCGAATCTGATTTAAATGTTTTTACACGTCAATAAAATTAAGAATTTTTATAATTATCATTACTATTTATTGTGCTCATCGTCACAAGGTGCGTCGACTCACATGATTTTAGAATGTCGTCTCGGGCTTATTGATATGCCCCATAGATTTGTAGCTTGTAGATAATTTAATATAGGTACGAATAATAAACTTCAAGAATAATCGAAACATTCCAAAATCGTATTTAAAAATATAATATCAGTTATTAATTGTATACATTATAAAAAGTTTTTGTTCTGAATTCATTTCAGATTAAGATACCTATAAGTGATGAACGTCGACAATGATAACGCGGACAATAACGGTCTTCTCCGACAATATTCTATAGTACTAGACATGATAATATTACACCTACATAATATGAATTATCGTTATAAATGATAACCGAAGTAATACCTTCATGACATAAAAATAACGTCTCGTCCCTCCGTTTAGAGTTGCAGACTTTCTGGCGTTATCGCATCTGTGCGCGGCGACGGGCGGCGAGCGGCGGACTCGATAGTTATTCCTACTACTACTACTACTACTACTACTATTATAGTATTATTATTATTATGATCATCGACCGTGATTTATGCGAACCCTATAATATTATATTATATACTATTGTTGTATTATTATGTATACCTGCAGGCATAATCGCGAAGGTGTGATTATTATTATTCTTGGCGGGGACGGCGGGTGTCGTCGCGGAAGACGCTTGACATCGGATTACCTGCGAAATGCACTGCTGTGACCGACGCGCTTTAAGCGGAACTTCTTATACTTACACGGCTACACACACACACACACACACACACACACACACACACACACACACACACACACACACATTTATAAACAATATACGTACAGTCAGTTATATAAGATTTGCCGCTCACCGCTACAGTCATCTCGTGGGGCGAAATCGTTCAATCATCGCTCGGACTCTGGCTGTGTCGGTGGCGGTGATGGCGGCGACAGCCGACAGCCGACAGGTATATATTCAGCGGATCGCCGCGAACCCGCAGAGTGCATTTGTCGTAGATAGGTCGTAGGTAGGTTAGGTTATAACAATATAATATATGGTATAGTGGCACTTGTATTGCCGTTGGATTTAATTATGTCACACCCGGTATACATTATTCGGGGACATGCGCTATTCGAACCCACACGCATTCAGTTACGATACAGACCTATATATATACATACATTTATTTATATATACGGTTTTCAAAAACAACCGAATTAGACATCCGGCAGAGTTTATGATGGACGTGATTAATGGACGACGGTATTTACCATCCATACAAAGCTATATACATTTGGCCTATCTCATATTCCCCCTTCCTGCTCGTCTGTATATCGCCTGTCTTAACTGCGTCCTGCGTGAACACCACCATCACCATCACCACCACCACCATATTTAGTGATGTAAATAAATACATATTTTATAATAATAGGTAGGTACATGTTTTTGGAATAATTTTGTAATAATTTTTGTCCACTACGAAACAGAAATGTACAAGAGATATAGATAAACTATACAGTTAATTATAGGTATAGTAATAAAAAAAAAATTAATTATTGTATTTGTTTTTGAATTTTATTGAAACACGTTTGTACAAAAATGTTAAAAATAAATATATGCTTATCTCAAGAACACCTACTGTTTTATGCAATTTGATGTTATTTGATAATAGTTGTATACTTGTATATATACCTATTTGTTATTAAGTTTATATGGTAAATTAGATTATAGCTGATTGTTTGAAAATTCTTTAGTAAATGTTTCGCAGTGAAGTAATCTATTTGAGTAGTTGGGCCCGACTTGAACAAGACCCTACTTGTAGATACAATAAGAGGAAAAAAACTTATATTGGCTACTATAGACTCCTTGTATGGGTACTTGAAAAGGTTTACTAATTTCCTGGGGTTCAAAAAAAAATTAAGCATAAAAAATCCAAAATTCCTAAAGTTGTAGTTAGTAAAACAGTGTTTAGCATTAACTTGAATTTAATGTTACAACTCATGCAATTTATAAAAAAAGTTTTAAACATTTTATAATTAGCACAAGAATTGTAGAATTTTTTTTTTAATATTCTTTAAGGAGCGAGTAAAATGGACAAAAATATTTCGGTTATTTCAGTCGAAAAATAATTCAGGCGAAAGATAATAACGTAGTCAAGTATATTAGCAGAACCGTATTTTACCCGACACGTATTTTATTCGAACCGTATTTTAGCAGACAAATATTTCGAAAGAACCGTATTTTAGCCGACACGTATTTTATCCGAACCGTATTTCAGCTGACAGGTATTTTATTCGAACCGTATTTCAGCCG